ATCCCCGGTTACGTCAAACGCGTCCGCGATCTACTCTCCCTGCCCTTGACCAAACGGGCCAAGCTCGAACCCCCCTTGCTGCAAAGCGTACAAGCTACCCGCGCTGCCCTGCGCGGTATCCACACCGAGTTCGGCGTGTCCATCTCCATGCTCCGTGCCGGCCACAGTAAGCCGCGCGGGTTCATCGGACCACTGCCGCAATTCTTCTTCGAGGGATATTCGGCGCATGTCACGCGGGGCGTGCACGCCGGACTCACAATCTTGAATTACCTCGTCATCATGCTGGACCCCAGCCAGCGTGAAACCCTACAAAAAGAAGCTCGTCTGCTATCCAACCCGCCATCTCCGGAAAGTGTGGTCAGTCCGGCGTCGGAGTACAGCTCTCCGCAGACCCCGTCTAGCTCGCCGGGGCATCCCCAGCTCGTTGTGGAGTCGCTCATCACTCCGGACTATAAGCAGGGTCCGACGACGGACTGGATGGATCAGTTGACGTCGTCGATGGGAATGGACGGCGTGCGGGTGCGTATTGTTGATTGATTTGAGGATTAGTTTATGTATAGCGCGTTTGGAGTTGTGAATTGTTTGTCTTGGCGTGCTTGTAATGAAGTTTTGGGATGGCTTGGTTGACGGATATCTAGATACCCATTGATTTGTTTGGCGAAGATGGGACATGATTCTCCTGGATTGAATTGATGTGTATATGCGAAAAAAAAAGTAACGGTTTGGTCTATTGTAATAAACGAATGGTGGATTGCATGGGCCAGATTTTGAGGAGTTGGGTGTATATAATCGAAAAATACTAGGAATATCAAATTCCCGCACAGTTGCAATCTATATTTACAGTTGTAGATCTATATTAGCGGAGAACAAACCCGCCTACCATGATCAAAACAACGCAACCACCCACCCACATGGCTCTCAATTACCTTCGGATTCTGAACATCCATCCCCTAGTACTAATCTACTAATAAGTAATACTACGCACAAACCTCCCCAATCTCCCCCTCATACAACTCCAACGTCCTCCATCGCGCGACACTGCCCTTCCCCGTCAACACAAACGGCTTCTCCCTGCTCGCTACAACTACCCTCTCCGTCCCCAACCGTACACACTCATGACACCGTCCATTAACCTTTTCAATATACGGCCTCAATGACTCCACATACTCCCTCCTCTTCCCTTCATCCTCTACATCCACCCCCTCCACAGCCTCAACCACCAACACCGGTCTATCCCTTCCATGTCCCCCAACCAACGCATTCTTGACCTCCGGATGCGCTACAATCTCCTGCTCCAACAGCGCAGCATTAACCCCGTCCCCGTGCGATAAATACACGTAGTCATCGACCCGTCCGATAATCTTCCATAGTCCCTTGTGGATCGGGTGCTCTTGCCATAGATCCTTCGTTTCGAAGCGTGTGAGGTCCGGGTACAGTTTGAATATGGGTTGGAGGGCGCAGGTAGGGGAGCGGATGAAGACTAGTTCGTGTAGTTGGGATTCGGTGGTTGAGTCGTGGCCGCGAGGTTCGAATACTACCCCTGTGTGCTGCTTGTTGAAGGTTAGGTAGTCCCATGCGTCGCTCTGGTATGGGTGCAGTTCTGTGAAGTACCCGCCGGATTCGGTGCTGCCGACTCCGGGGATTACGGGGACGTGGGGGAGTAGGAGGGAGGCGGTTTTGCGAGATAAGGGGGCGCCGGCGTAGTGGATGTATTGGAGGGAGCGGAGGGCGGAGAGGCCCTCTGGGGTGAGGGCTAGGGCGTCGATTAGGGCCGGGGGGAACATTGCCGTGGTGATGTTGCCGTGCTTGAGGAGGGAGATTATGGTGGAGGGGGTCGGTGGGGTTGGTGGGCCGATTACGGCCGTCATGTGGATGAAGGTTGTCATGGAGAGGGAGAGGGCCATGCCTACGAACTGGTTGGGGTTTAAGTTAGGGGTTGGGGTGGATTGGGGGTATGGAGAGGGGAAGGGCGTACGTGGAGGGATGGGAGTGGGGTGTAGCAGCGGCGCTGGGCGTAGTGGTGGATTTGGGTCTCGCCGATGTCTGGGAGTGAGGCGACAATGTCGGCTCCGGCCATCATTTCGTGCGTGTAGGTTACTGGTTTGGGGTTTCCTGGGATAGTTTGTATATTTTATTGATTGTGGGTGAGAAGAGGGGGAAGGGGTTACCTGTTGTGCCTGATGTGTGGAATACTAGCCATGGATCTGCTCTACCTTCCTCGTATGTCTTGCTGTAGTTGATTGGCTCTGCTTCTGCTTCTTGCATGAAGGCTTCGATGCCTGGCACGGTGATTGTCTGGACATGTGGAGCTGCTTTTAGGATCTCTGCAACCGGCGCTTCCATTGACGACGGTCTCAAGTAGACTGTGCATCCTTTCTTCTCCAGGATGTGCAGCTGCGCTTCGGCTGTGACTAGCGGCGAGGGAAGGACCATCTACTAAGTGTTCAGAATGGAATCCTTCGAATATCCGAGGCAGGATCATACGTACCACCTTCTGCACCTTCGCCGCTGCCACCGCCAGGATCTGGTACCGAAGATCCTTAGGTCCAGCATAGGCGAAACATTGGAATGGCTCAGACGTCGGAGGCAGGTTCTGCTTCAACCAGTGTGCTGCATGGTTGGCGGCGTTGTTCAGCTCCTTGAAGCTGATATCGCGAAATCCCTGTGACAGGTCCTGATCATTGAACGGTACGGAGACCCATGGTGGGGTGTTGTTTGCTTTGGCTCTGGCCTCGATGACCGAAGCGAGAATGCGTTGGCCGTGCTCGACTCCAGGGAGAGGGAACGGGGATTGGAAAGAAGATGCCATTGCGTATGTGCTGTTATTAGCGCTTGGTGAGATACTGTTAAATGAGAGAAGAATTGGCAGCCTGATGGAGAAGTGACTGCGCTATATATTCCTCTGAGCACCCCGCAGCCTTATGGAATGAATGAAGCTCCGCTAGCAGGTGTTAGTACTTGCACTCAGACATCTAGTAAGCACTAAGGCACGCCCCGTCTCTATTAGCATGTCAGCCTAGACAAAAAAAGCTGAGACTCCGTCAGGTCTGTCCAATATTTATCCGTGTCACCGTCATCAATTTGAACGAAATGAGCGTGAAAAAGAGGGAGTCAGACTGAATTCATTGTATGACAGGCTTATCTAAGCTATGCAGGGATGCGGGTTGACAGGTCCTTCTTTCAGCTTTCTCACTCCATCCAGCGCAACCTTGCATGCAACTCCCCTCGCGATCTACTTCCACTACTGTAAGTGTAAGTAGAACATGGCTAAGCGACTCGCCCAATCACTTCGTGCCTGGTCAGCATTAGGGCACAAGTCCCGCACTTCGTTCCATGGCACCGGCCTGGAGCTTCCTCCCCAACCCAAGATCGAAGAGGAGAAGGTTCCAGGCTTCAAGCCCAGTGCCTATTTTCCCGTTAAACCAGGATACATTTTCAATGATCGATATGAAGCTCTGACAAAGCTTGGCTGGGGAACGAGCTCCACTGTCTGGCTTGTCCGCGATCTCCAACAGTATGCCGCCAACCCCTTCTCATCTCCACAGCGCTAATGCCCGGTCCGTACTAGATGGAAATGGCTACCAGAACGCTACCTGACATTGAAAATCGGCACCTGCAACTACGCAGAAGGCCACGAAAGTCATGAACTCAATATGGAAAAGTGCATCCGCGACGCCAATCCCAACCATCTAGGCCACTCTATTCTGAGAACCTTCATTGATTCTTTCGAAGAGAAAAGCCCCAATGGGACACACATCTGTCTGGCCTACGAGCCACTGCGAGAGCCCTTGACACTTCTACAAGGCCGGTTCATCAATGACACATTTCCTCTTAACATTTTCAAAGCCTACATGAAGTTCCTCCTTATAGGACTCGACTACTTGCACTCCGAATGCAAGATCATCCATACCGGCTAGTACCACTCACAATCCCTACTACTATATATCCAGCAGCATCCTCATGAGTTACAACTACATAGATATAAAAGCGGCCAACATCCTCATAACAATTGAAGACCCTTCAGTCTTACACAGCTTTGCCCAATCGCAACCATCAAAACCTATGTCCCAAAAGACAATCGGCGACTATACCATTTATCTCTGCCACAACAACTTCGGCCGCCCCAAATCCCTTGACTTCCTTCCAGTTCTCTCTGATTTTGGATCGTCTCAATTCCAACTCGACAACGTCACAAACACCTGGCCAATCCAACCGGATTGCTACCGCGCACCCGAGGTACTCCTCGGCGCGGGCTGGTCATACAGCGCCGACATATGGAACCTAGGAGTAATGGTATCCCACCCACCCGAACAACCGAACTACTACATACTAAGAAGGTATCGGATATAGATGTGGGAACTGATCGAAGACAAAATTCTCTTCTCCAACGCCCGCGACTCAAACCTAAGAGGCACCCCAGCCGCTCATCTCGCGCAGATGATAGCCTTTCTGGGCCCGCCACCCCAGGAAATGATAGCCCGGGAGAAAGAAGGACTCAACCGAACATTCGGTATTGGCTTACGGAATCCAGACGGAAAGCTTTGTAACTCGCCTGCCGAGTGGTTCGATGGGCCTTTCTTTGACGAGAATGGTGAGTTGATACCAACCCTACCTACTTTTTATTGTCCGGTATAGATACTATACTCACAAAACACACCGCCATGGCATACAGGTGAATTCCTACACAAGCACCTCATCCCAGAGAACCAGACTCTCGAAGACACAGTAACCTGTCTCAAGGGTACAGAAAAAGACGAATTTCTGGCTTTCGCTAGGAATATCTTGCAATGGCTGCCCGAAGACCGGAAGACGGCCAAGGAGTTGGCTGAGGATCCGTATTTGAGTGAGATCATGATAACAGTCAAAGGAGTAAGTCGTGAGTGAAGGTATAGGCGTTGTTTTTGTACGATACGTAGTAGATGATACCCCTCTCCGCTCTGCTTGTTTATGTGTAATATATGGTGTATATAGGATTGAAATCTCAGCTCAAGTGTCTATAGTATACTCGAGATTCTGACTCCTGTGAAGCGAATAGCAACGCACAATATTGAAACCGACGATTGATGGTCCTATCCATGTTGGTACTATATACTTAACCTCAAGAATTTAGCAATCAGTGTACCCATGAAACAACTTACTATGTAGTGCCCGAGGTCTCGCTTGTATACATTAGTATAGAATAGTATATTAATTAAACCAAAAGTACATACCTTCCTCACAATCAAAAAGCGAAGCAGTTCTCTTCCATGCCTTCAACAAAACACCAACATAAAACCTCAAACCAAAATCAACAAACACTAGATGCAACAAACCCAGCAGGTGATTAGAAACTAAGAAAAAGAAAAGCAAAAGAGAAGTGAAGAAAAATAATGACAAGAGTGGGATTCGAACCCACGCCATCGAAAGATGATCAGGAAGCTTTTGTTTGTTGTTTTTCAAAACACAAGCTGATTCATTTAGGTGGACCTAAACCTGACGCCTTAGACCAACTCGGCCATCTTGCCTTTATTTTTAGTCGGTGGGTGGCAATTGGTGCTCACTTATTTGTGGAAGATTATTTTTTGGCATTTGCCCAACTATAGTATCATTGGGATAGTATGAATGGCTCGCTTTTCGATAAATTCTTTTTGTTGTGATACGCGTACCCTATCTTGGACTTTGAAATGTGGATTACTTGTCTTCGAGGATACACCGCCGTAGTGAGCTAACACTATCTAGTTCCTCGTTCTCCCGCTGAATTACCACTGAGCGAGCCTTGTATTTAGGGTCACTCAATATCCGTTCCACACTCTCTCGGATGGTCTCAGGGCTGGGAGTATCAGTTCGCAGATTGATTCCGATTCCGGCCCATTCTCCGCGCGTGCATACTTCGCCTTTGTCTTCTATTTATTGTCAGTGATTAGGTGTCTCAAAGAGAGAGGGAGGATGAGGACACTTACGAACTGTCCCGGCTAACACCATGGGCACTCCGTTCATCACGCCATGCATAAAGCTGCCATACCCGCCATTTGTCACGAAGACATCAACGTACGGAAGCACCGCATCATATGAGAGATAATCAATGACTTTGGCGTTGTCGGGTATTTTGTGATTCTCGTCCAATACTGCGCCTTTCACTCCCAGCACGCTGATGACCATGACATCTGACCGGTTGGCGAAGGCTTGCATGGTGGGGATGACTAGGTCCTTGTAATGAGTTTTGATGGTACCCTGGGTAACAAAGACAACTTTCTTCGGGTCTGTCGCACGTCTGTTCGTCTCCAGCTCACACCACCATTCAGGCAAAGGTGTGGACGGGTCGATTTTCTCGCGTGGTGTACCGCCAATAAAACGGACCTTCGGCGAAAGGTCGCTGCGAGGGTACTCCAAGCTTGGGGAACAGGGCTGCAGGAGGATGGTATGGCCCGTGCTCCACAGGTCGAATACCCACTGGTCTACTTTTGTGGTTGCTCCAAGCGATGCATACACGCTATTGGTGTAGTCGACTAGATGATCGCGGACGGGTTTCTCGGCTGCGTACATGGCAGCGTTGCGGGCTCGACCGTCGTCGCTGGAGTCGGGAGGTGAACCGCGGCCGAACGGTGCTGTGTCGACGCTTGAAACGAGCAAGGGTGCGGTGGAGAATGTGAAGGTCTTCGGAAATCGCTCGTAACCTTTGGGTAGGGGTGCGCCGAGAAGGAATGGCCAGGTGCCCATATAGCCGAGCTCTTGGATGAGAATGACCTCGCGGTTGGGGTGCTTTTCGCGGAGACTTTCCAGAACGGTTTGTAGTGACTTCATTCTGGATGCGGTAATGTCAATGAAATATGTTTTCAGGCTCCAGATACCGCGTGCGATGCGGTCGGGAATTGTCTCCACGTATTCTAGGCTCTCCAGCGAGTATAGGTTTTCTATTGGGTAGAAAGTTGCGCCAGTTTTGTGGATGAGACTTTCAAACTCTCGACCACCGATGAAAGAGACGTCGAAGCCTTGTTTGGCAAGTTCGGTGGCGTGTGGGAGCAATGGAAGTGTGTGTCCGACAATTGTCGTGCAAGCAATGACGATAAGTGGCTTAGAGGAGCGATCCTCGGTTGCCGTTGCTTTGGTGTTGATAGTCATGGTTCTGGATTGTGCTCAGAATATACGGTGTCGTAGATCTGCTGGCCTTCCTGAAGCACTATGTGGCTGAAATGGGCTGTTTTCAAGGGTATTGGCGCGGAGATTAATTACAGCGTAGCGGTCTTGGTGTGGAAGTGTCGCATCCTATTGCAAGGGTCTCCTTAAATACTCCTTAAAGAAACCTTCAGCCAGCCGCAATGCCACTAGTGCGTGGATCTGATGTATGTGTTGTCAGAATGCACGATCGAACTCTCACATCTCGTCTGGTGTGGGGTGTATCGACCAATAAGCACTGTCAGCCTAAGGTTTGGATGGCAAGGCGAAGCATTGAATCCCGTGTAGGAGGTATGTGCGCCCCCAAACGAGTGAACAGGAAGCTGTCAGTTTGTGAGCAGGTGGTCTCTCTCGTCTAAGCACATTCCCCATGAGCGGCGCATGCGCACAGGTTCATTGGGCTGCTGAATCCTGTATCAAGGATGGACATGTTGTTGACATTCCTGTAAACGAACCGACATGCACATGGACGGGCAAGGTGATAAGCTTTGGATGGCTCTGACATGACTCCATTGTAGAGCTTAGCTGGAGGAAGGGAGGAGCGACAGTAGGGGAAACAAGCGATGGCGATAACACCTGACAGGGGACCTCTTCGAAGGGATGAACTCTTTAACTTCACTGCTCTAAGGCCCAGGCCCAGAACACTAGCACAAGCTTATTACTCACATACCACAGTAGGTAATCAGACGGGCATGGAATGCCTATAAGATTTTGTGGCGGTGAACAATATCTTGGAAGGGATCATTTCTATCATGCATGTCATCACGTGGAAAGTTGGGATCTCGTCTGCAAGCACGGAAGCAAAGTGCGAATTTGAACCAGATAACATAGCAATAGATGAGAAAGTTAGCTACGGAACACTATTCCATAAAATCTAACGTGTCATTTCTATCAACCACCCACTGTCGCAATCAACTACTGCGGCCGTGAACACTTCTATCTGTCATGTACAAGGGTATCGGTGAGAACCATAGGCCTCTCGTAACATAGGCTGGGGACTCCGAATGTGCCAGATCTCAAAACGAGGGGAGGAAATGGAAAGGGATAAAGAATAAAGAAACAATCATGAAATAAAATATAGAACGCGTTCATCCAACGTCATGTCAATGACCGTACGCGAGGATATCCACATGTCAACAGGGCTTCAAATATTTTCGGAGAATGGGTAAAAGAGACAGCAAAAGAGAAATCGTGGATCATCGTCGATCGAAAAACCAGCTGGTACGCTTCCCAGTCTCCTGCGACTGGACTCCTGCAACTGGAGCACTGCTCTCGTTCCCTCCGCCGCCGCCTCGGAGCGGCTTTGCGATTCTCGAGCCGCCAAAACTGAAACCGCCGCTGCCATCCATACTTGGAAGACCCCTCGTAGAGCCCTGCTTCGCAGCTTCGAGTCGCTCTTTGACCGCAGTGAGTTGGGCTTCAAATCTGTATCATCATCTAGTCAGCAACCCGCTTTCGTGGTTTCAGCAAAGGAGTGGAGAGGGTCGTACCGGTGATTCGCTTGGGTGAGTTTCTCCTGGCTCTCCTGGAGCAGGCTCTCCAAGCTCGCAATCCGCTCGTTCCGGGCAATGAGCTTCCTCTCCGCAATAGCAACCTCCTTCTTCAGGCTGCTGTTCTGTTCTACCAGCTGCCGCTGCACATGAGTCAGCTGTTCCAAGTTGCGTTCCAGGAACGCCATCTTCTTCTGCTGAGCCCGGTTGTTCGACGAGCGGAGAACGTTGTTATACTGCTCCCGAGCATCGTCCAGCGAGATCTCAAGCTCCACAACGCGCTCGCAGCGGTTCTGGAGGTCGCGCATGAGCGACTTCTTCATGGCATCGAAGTCGGCAATTTGCTGCTGCAGGTTCTTGCCGGCGGCGCCGTTGGTCGAGACCCGGGATTGAGAGTCTGCAAGGGACAGCCGCAGCTTATCCAGCTCATCATCCTTGCGTGCAATCTCGTTCCTAAGGTCCGTGACTGCCTGCATTTCGGCCTCCTTCCGGGTCACGTACACCTTCTCCAACCGCTCCCGGATCTCCTCCACATCGCCCTCGCCCAGGTTCCGCTCCAGAAGGTTCTCATAGTCCCGCTCGAGATTCGCCAGCTTCTGCTCAACTTCCGCTCTACGGCTGTCCTGCAGCTCATTGAAATCTCCCCGGTCGTTCATCGTGAGCTCGGCTTGACGGATGAACCCTTGGGTCTCCAGGAGACTCGCCCGCAGCTCCATAAGGTCGTCAGGCGCGATCGTCTCGCCGGCTTCGCTGACCTTGTGCAAGGAATCGACCCGCTGGATCAAGTCCTGAAGCTTGCGTTCGTTATCGGAAAATACGTCACCGCCCAAGTCGAACCCGGCCATCATCTTCGCCATCTTTTCGGCCTTCTTCTTCTCCTTCTCGTCCAGTGCAGCGCTGGTCTCCTTGGCCTTCATCCGGACGTCGAGAAGCTGCTGCTTAACGTCATCCAACTCGGTGGTCAACTCGGAGTTAGCCTCGCGGAGGCTGTCCATGGTGATGGCGGCCTCCTTGCTTTCGTAGGACACCTTCTCCAACTGCATCCGAAGCTCATTAACCTCGGTAGTCAACTTATCGTTGTCTTTGCCTGAGCGGGCGGAGTTCTCCTTCATGCTCCGCAACTCCTCCCGTGCCTCACGGAGACCCCTTTCGACGTTCGCAATGTGCGACTCCTTCTCCGCGATCTGGTCCTGGAGCTCATTCTCGCGTCTAAGGAACTCCTCTCTCTCGTCCTTCTCGAGAACAAGGCTCGGTGTACTAGAGCGGTCGCCCAGCCTGGACTCAGGACGAGGAGTCTCGGATCGAGGCGTGTCCTGGAAACGGGAGGGCGTGCCGGGCCGTGGCGCACGAGCCTCGGCCTTCGCGGCGCTCACAGCATCCCCTCTGGCGGGAGTCCAACGATCCTTGGGAACAGCCTCGCCACTGCGCCACACGTGTACTTCAGACTCGAGTTGTGAGATGTATGTTTCGAAATTCGTCATCTGACTTTGGGCCTTGCGCAGAAGCGCCTTCAGTTCCGAAGGGCTCAATTCGGCGTTGACCTTCGCCTTGTTCTTAATTGCCTTGGCGCGCACACCGAAACGCAGGGTGGAGATGGTTTCCGCATCGTTGTAGCTGCTGGGAGAGCAGTTGATAATCAAGGTCGTTCTCGAGTTACCTCCCAAACTTTCTTGCAGGATACGAGTGAGCTTGGAGTCACGGTATGGGATATGCGTGGATTTGCCGTCCGTCAGCGCGTTAATGACCATACCAAGAGCACTCAAACTCTTGTTGATCTTCTTAGCTTCTTCGAGCGTCTGACCACTAGCGCCCGTCTTTCCAACCTTCTCACTACCTGCCAGATCGACCAAGAACAGCTGTCCGCTCTTTGCGGAGCCGGTCTCCAGGTTCTTCTGTGTAACAGTGATGACGAAGATGGAGTGGGACCGAGAGGATTCCTGGTTCATGTTTGTCGCCGCAACCGCTCTTGCTGTACCACCACGTCGCATGACTTCATACACCTCCTGGACACTTGAGACGTACACCTCCAGCAGACCTTTGACATAGACACCTCTCGATTTCTCCTCGTGAACGGGAAGGTTATCGTTGTGCGGCACCAGCAGATCTCGAATTCGTTCCATGTAGATTTCCATGTAACTCACGCGGACGGTGTACTCGATGTTGCTGGGGCTCGTGAGGATGCTGGCGAAGATCTGCTCGACAATGCGGGGAATGATACCCTTGCCCATATCATCGTCGATATCCGAACCCATCATGGTGTAAGACTTTCCCGCACCCGTCTGACCGTAAGCGAAGACCGTTCCATTATAACCATTCAGAATATCGTCGACGGTGGGCCGAATCGAGAAGTCGAAGATATCCGTTTGTTTCGAGTCCATAGGAAACACGCGGTCGAAGGTGAAGGCTCCAGAGCCATCACGGGCCTGGACTGAGTTAGCTCCCTAGGCGAACTTGCCTCCTATGCCATAACCCCGCCCGTGAAGAGAAAAGCTCACATTAACGTAACATGATTGCTCATTTTCGAATTCAACAATCGGCTCTCCTCCAGAGGACAACTCAACCTTGTTTTGCGGTCGGAACCTCGCAACCACTGTGTGCGAACCGTCAGTCTTAGATCACCACCAAACTCAAAAAAGTATACGACGCGGCGGGGAGTTGATGCGCACCCTTAATGGTGTTGTTCGAGCCGTTGGGGCCAGATGACCTGTCAAGCGAAACAAATCAGTTCTAACCGCTCCCACGGTCAAGCGGTGAAGCAACGAGATACTCACGCCATGTTCAGTCTGACCCGAACAGAGAGAAAAAAAAAAAGACCGATGAAGACGAAAGAGGACAAGAAGGAAAGAAAGCCCCGAGAGGAGGGGATTGAGTGAGGAGGGGGGGGGAACTTCGTTCAGATCAACAATGAGGCGAGTCTGCTTTGGAGGGCCAGGGTCGGTGGGCGGTGTTGTTTGGGTCAGGGGTCCACGTGCACTAGACCGAAACGAACGTGTGCAATAAATGCGCTATCGGCAAGCCCCAAGAATTCAGAGAGATCGGGCAATAAGTAAAAAAGGGCCCCGGCACCCATGAATCGACAACGATAGTGGGTTGTGACGTGGTCTTGGACGGGTCTTCCCTGCCTAAGGTGGGGGGGAGCAAAACAAGTGTATGTGTGTGGTGGTGGTGAGTGTGAGGTTAGGTATGCAGCATTGTTATGGGAACTCTGGAAGTGGTTCCGGTGCAAAGCAAGCACCCCTCCGTTTTAGAGTGTTCTTGGCACCCGCCTAACCATCCTCACCAGTGCCGCATGTCCATCCCCGCCAAACATGAGGAATGTTGCATGTAGTCATTTGAGTGCTGTACCTGCCTTACGGCTTGAATCACGGGAAGGGCTCATATGAGGGGCTCGGGTTGAAAATTAACTGGCCTGGGACAAATAAAGCCAACGCAGTGAGGAGATAAGAGTTATGTGAC